TTTTTTATTACTATTTTTTGCGTAATAATAGTAAATATAGATAATGATTGTAAATATCAGAATCACAACCATAAAAGATCAGCCTCTTTTAGATCCAACTACTCATACTACTCACATGATCGAACACTTTAATCCCTTGGAACAACTATAATATCATTCAACACTCAATTTTTCCGTAGACCAATCTTTTTTAAACAAGAAATTCTCAGTAATATGTTTCCCGTCATCAAGATTCAATTCTCTAAACGGTGACTCATCACGTTTTCGTTGATTATTTATCGTCGACAAAGACGCGTTCGGTTTAAGCTTCGGACTAGAAAGTCCGGTCGCCTGATCTTCAAAAGTCAGACATTCAACCGGGGTGATCGGTGGTGAAGCTGATTTTAACGTGTTGTTGTTGTTGTTGGTGACTGTCTTGAATGTTGGGCCCTGATCCGAGTATGCGCGTTGATACAAATCGTGTTTGTATAGGTTTCGGTCGTATGATTGACGTCTTTGTGGGTGTGGTGGTGGGTGGTGGTGGTGGTGGTGGTGGTGTTTGTTGTGGTCTTTGTTTTGGTCTGTTTCTGAAGAGGAAGGTGAATAAGAAACGGAGCGTTGGTGATATAGAGGGGGTTGAGTTATTTTAGAGGAAGGTAACGTTTCTTTTTCTGTATTAATTGTTGTATCGATTGTTAATTTATCCATTTTTACAGTCAACTGCGATAGTTGTTTAATCTTAATACACAGCAATCGTTATTTATATATTTTTAAAATCACATGTTATTTCAACTTTATAAACAGGAATATGTATATGCATAAATTAAATTGGGTGATCGTGATGCTTTTTCTTTTTTTGATGATAAGCAAAAAACAATAACTCTTTGGGTGGTGGCTGCTAGTGTGCCATTTTAGCAGAAGAAAGTAAAGGAATAACGATAAAATATGCATGTATGATGACGACCGTATATATATAATCAACGTGAGAATTCAATTTTGTCTCTAAACTTAATATATTCAAATCATCCTTTAAAAGTTGATTCGTTGAATGGAGGTGATCTGATCCCCGCGTTTTTTATGCATAATACACAACACAGACAATCTCGACAAAAATGAGCTCTCGATTAAAACGAAAATTTCATAATGAAGATTACTAATAACCCGACTGCCTGCTATCTAAAATTAACAATCGAGAGTAAATAATGAGATTCTTTAACATGTCATGTCATTTGAATAATGTGTTGATTATTCTTCAGAATGATTGAATGTCACCTCTCTTTCCATTGATATAAATGTAGCTAGTGCAAATACGGGAAAAGGAAACCAACTTGTGTGTGAAAATACTCAAAATTTTCCCGATCATATTATTTTTAATTGTCGGCGCTTGGTTTTGTTGTTGTGTTGTTCTGTTGCTCTGGTGATCCCAACATATTCAATATATTAACAATCCCGTAAATCATCTTTTTTTTATTAAGTACAACAACGAAGACGACACGACAATGTGATTTCAAAGCGAGCGCGTAGATTGTGATATCCAGTTTCCTTTATAAAAAAATCAAATAGTTGATAATCACGACTTTGTTTGCATACTCACCATAGATATATAATAGTAATATGACCATTAATATTATAAGGAAGAACTTTGTTGTTATTGCTGCTTGAAATTGTTACTGTTTTTGTTGTAACTTTTGTAAGAATTGCAGTGGTGTTTACCACCTAAAAACATCACCTCTTGTTTAAATGCGCCAATTTTCACCTGCGGTGTAACCTATTATCGACTAATAGAAATTAATATTTCCAAGATGAAAGTCACGATATACACAATATATACAATGAATGATTTCCAGAATATAAATTTACCTTCGTAATTGGGAATTAATGGAGATCACCATACATGTCATTACTATCGAATCTTTTTTGAAAACCTTGAACTTTCACTTAGAAAATGGTCATTTTTATCTCGTTTATAAACGCTAGAGTAATTTTGCTTTGAATTGTGTATTGATTTCAACACAACTTCACGTTCTCCAACTCGTTCAAATTTATTTTCTTCCCATTTGTAAAATAGTCCGTCCAACCAGGTTTCTTTATAAATTTTTTCCAAAACCTCCTTTTGCTAAATATTCGACGTTAGTAAATCTTTCAAAAGGAATCCATTCGAATAACTAATCTTGAAGCAGATTATTATTATCAGCAACTTTTTTAATACGTTTGTTACTTTTATCTCCGCTAGACAATTCATCATTATAAATTCGTTTGTGATATTTGGAACAGTCAAAGCAGTCCTCATTTTTTTGACATTTAATACATTTACTACACAAAATTTTAGTGATTAATATTGAAGTATTTATTGGTCAACTTCCCTATAAAACCGTACGGACATGTGACTTTTTGTGGCTGTGATGTGGCTACGTAACCAATCAAATTGCAAGATCAAGATATAATAATATAAATTTCAAGTATAGTTATAAAATTTCTTTTAATTATAAAGTTAATACAAAAATTTTTACTAATTAAAAATGAAATTTAATTAATAAAAATTTTTATACTGACTTTACATTAGAATAATTCTTTCAGAAAAATCTGAAAAAATATATATTAAATTATAATTAATAAATTTTATTTTAATATAAAAATAAAAATTATTTCTTAATAAAATTATAAATTTTAATACAGAGAGAAAATTTTGATTTTTATTATATTTTATTAATAAATTTAATTTTTAATATATTATTTTTAATTATTATTATACATATTTATATTTTAATATAATCTTCAAATATATCTTATAAAATAATTAAAATAAACTTTTTTTAGCTCTTATAATTAGTAATCTTATAATTAATTTTTGATTAATATTATCTTTCAACAGAAAAATTACTTAATAATAATAGTATTAATATTGATAATATTATTATTTTATATAATATATCTCTTAATATTTCAAATTTACTTTTATATAATATTTTCTTATAATTTAATATAGTAAAAATATCAAATTAAAAATAATTGATTAGTAATAATATATTATAATCTATTTTAAACTCAAAAAAATAACTAAAAAAATACTTAATAATTAGATTATATTATTTAATAAAATAGTATATATATTTTATTTATAAAATTAAAATAAAATAATAATTATACAGGATTATTATTAAAAATAGAATTATAACTTGATTATAATTCTTTGATTAATTATTATAATTAATTGTAATTCTCTGATTAGCTGTCACAAGTTATAATTAATTGAGATGATATCTCTAATTACTATAAAATTAAATTAATTAACTTATCTTATAGATATATTATCTTTAAATTATCTAATTTTTTTAACTTTATCAAAATTAGATATATTATATTTTGTATTTTCTAGTTAAATATCAAAGATAAAGATATATCTAAATTATTTTTAAATTAAAAATTAATATAGAAATAATAATAATATTTTTAATAAATCTTTATCAATTTAATCTTAAATAAGAATAATACTTAATAATTTATAATATATATTTTAAATAAGAATATTATACTTTAAGATATTATAATAAAATAAAATAAGTAATATTATAAGTAATTAAATAAATTATATAAAAATAAAAAAATTTTCTATTACAAATCTATTATTAATATTTTAATAATATTATATTATTTTTATAAAGATATATTATTAAAAATTAATATAACTATATCTTTAAATAATTAAACTTTTAAATTAAATATTTTTACTTCTGAAATTAACTAAATCTATTTTAATTCTCAGATAATAATATATATCTCTCTTTTATTTTTAGTATTAATTATAATTATCTTAATTAATTATTAATAGATAATATTTTTAATTAAAGTTATATAATTATAATAATTAAATTTTACTTTAATAAAAATTTATTATCTAATTAACTTAATTCTCTTTAATAAAAATTTAATTTTATTAAATATAAATATATTTTAATTTTAAATAAATTTTTATTTAATATAATAAAAATATAAATACTTTATTATTATTTTTCTTTATCTTATTATAATAATTATAAATAATTTAATAATTATTATTAATTAAAAAAATTAAATTACAAAATTATTATTATTTAATTAATAATTTTATTCTTGATAATAATAACTTTAATTTTAATAATAGTTAATACTAGAAAAGTTTTTTATATTAGAATATCAAAATTTTTAAAATAAATAATTAAATAATAATATTATAAATATATTATACTCTTTTATAAATTATCATAGTGATTTAATAATAAATTTAATTATAATATTATTATTAATAATTATATAAAATTTTATATAGATTATAATAAGTAATAATAATATTAATTTCAAATATTTGTAAAATTATTTTATTAATGATTATAAATAAGATAAAATATAATATGAATAGTTTTAATTTTATAACTTATAATTATTTTTATTATTTAAAGATATTTAGATCTAAAGTTAAAAGTACAAAACAAATAGATCATATTTATAAGAAAAAAAATAAAAAAGACTTTATGAGTAATATTATATGATTTATCATGTATGCACTTTTCAAGAGTATCTTTGATATTCTTTTTAATTTCTGATATCTCTCTTGAATATTTCTGAGATTAAATTAAAAGTATATATCTAAGTTTATAATATTATAATATTATTTGACTAATATTATTTAAAGGATTATTATAAATTAATAATACAGCTTCTTTGAGTTGGGTAGGCTAATCTTTCTTCAAGATTAATTAAACATCTTCTATCTTGAATATAGATATTTTAGATTGTTCTTCAAAAGTGATTAAACTATCAGAACTTATAAATTCTGATTCTTCTTCAATATCCTCTTGTTTAATATTAACTTTGAATTCATCTTCAGAGGAAGTAACAATAAAGGTATTTAATCAATCAAAGTCTGAGTTAATAGTAGTATTAATTGGTTCAATAGGTACTTTAAGAGATTCAACAATTATTTGTGTATCAAAAAAAAAGGGCTATTCAGTTTAATATCTTTAGTAAATTCAGGTTGTATAAGTAAATCCAAGAGTATAATATTAGTTTCTTGTTCTGTATTATTGCAGATAAGTAATCTATAAGTAAAGAAGATAATCATTTCAAAGAATTAATGCATGAATATTTCTTGATAAATCTCTTCAAGAGACTTGATTATTGAAAATATAATTCAAGTGGATAATTAAGATATGATAAAGAGTATCAAAAGTAAAAATGTAAAAGAATTTAAAAAGATATAGGATAATAAGAGTAAAAAGTAATAGATAAAAATAAAAATGTGAAAGAATAAAGAAAAAGGAAAGGGAAATAGAGGGATATTTATATAAAATTTAAAATAAAAATCTACTATAAGTGATAAGATATTAAAAATATTAAGATAAAAATAATTATAAAAATAGATAAAAATAAGATAGAAAAGAATTTTGAATATAAGAATGACAAAAATTAAAGAGATAATCCATGTGAGTTACTCAATAATAATTTGTGATTCAAAGTAATCTTGGTGATCATAATAATATTTGAGTTATCTTTCATTAATAGAATACTTGTAAACTTTTTCTTTCTGGTCATGAATTTTATAAGAGTTATATTCAGCATAGTCATAAATATAATATCATTCTTTACTCCAGATAGGTTGAAATTTATCTTTAATTATTGAGTATTATTTCATGGCAAATATTAATACTTTATTTTTAATTTCAAAAATTATT